GGAGAGGGCCCCGCAGAAAGGAGGACGGAGGGCAGGAAGGGCCAGAGTCTCCGCTGAACAGCCCGCCGGCCAGGCTGCCCTCACCCCCCCCACGGGCCCCCACAGCTCCTGTTTATACTACCTCCTCTTAACGTTATTCTAGTATTATTGTTTTCCTGTACTCAGGGTGCAGTTTGTGACTTTTTGAGCTGTCTGGCAGCGATGTGAGGCAGACTGACAGGGTATCCATTTTTATTTTAAGTTAGACTATGTATGTGTGTTTGTGCGTGTGTGCGTGTGCGTGCGTGCGTGCGCGCGCACGCACGCACGCACGCACACACACACACACACATGCGTGTGTGCATGCGTGCAGGGGGAAGGTCCAAAGTTCTCTCCTCCAAGCCAAAATTGTTCTTTTTTTCCACATAGCCGGCAACTTGTGGTGGCTTTTCCTCTGGGGGAGCCTCTGGTTCTGTTACACGAGCCTGGGCTCCCAGTTTCCCTTTGTGCCATATTAAGACAGAGATCATTACAAATCTTTGTTTTCCTTGGGGAGAGAAGGGAATGGACACCTCCACCCCCACCCACCCCAAAACCCCTCTTTGGCTCGGGTGAATTGGCTCATAGCTTCTGTAGACCGTTTGTCAGTGTGTGTTTGCTAATGCTGTGTACCAGGCAGGATGTGTTCACTGTTCCACGTTTTTTTCCTGATTCAAAGGCTTTAAAGATGACAATAATCTTGTACCAAAGAATGTTCCCGTAGCAAAGAAAGCTGCGTATTTTCCAAAAGAAATTGAGCTAGTTTTAAAGAGAAGAAACTATAGGGTTTGAAGAATACGTTTTATTGCCTATGTAGTTACAAACCAAAAAGAAGGAGAGAGAACCAAACCGTAGGGCTTCTATGGAGTGTAGTTGGTGAATGGCCTAGATTAGTTCCACCGCGTTAACTACCTGATTGTTCCCGGATCCTTTCCTGAAAGTGGATGCCAGATCTTCCCAGCACAGAGATCGGCAAAGACTCCTCTAAGTGGAATTGTGTTTCCCTTTCCTTCAGCAATTAGCTTTTAAGCAGTCCCATATTAGATACACCTATTTTAAAAAAATGTTCTAAAATATCTACTTGCTGAAGAAAAAGAAACTTTTTTTTCTCACCAAAGAGTTATTATTATTATTTTTGCTGTCTCCTGGGAGCGAGCTGTGTCGTGTACAGCCGAGAGGGAGTCACAGGCGCTAGAGGGCAAAGACCAGGTTAGCGGTGAGGGCGAAGCGGCTTCTCGCCACGTTCCTCTAGCTGGCCGAGGCTCTGAGCGATGCCCTCCTAGGGCTGATCGGTCAAGGTAACCACTTCCTCCTCCAAAGACTTGTTTGCTGTGAATACCGACACTTTTTGGAACCCCTGCCTAGCACGGTCGGTCGGTCGTGGTTAGCACTGGTAAATTCCACTCCTCGACATTCTCATGCCAAAGACCAGTAACGCTTCGCTGGCTGCTTCTGCGAACAATCAAAAAGAGAAAACAGGATTGTGGGATGTGCTAAGCGAGCGGAGGTGTTTCCGCCCCTCAGAGGCTGAAAGAGGGCGACGGGCATTGCAGGACCTCTCCTTTGCCGGAACCACCTTCAGTGGGGTTAGAGGAGACCACCTCCGACAAAGAGGGCCGTCCCACTTAGAATCCACCTTCGGTGCGTGAAGTCGAGCCTCGACTTGTCCGGAGGACGAGCGGTGTTTCCCTCGCTCCTCCTTCCTGTCTTTGACCAAAATAACTGCCCCTGAGACGGTGGGTTTCGCCTCTGCTGCCCATGTATGTACGTGATCCTGCTCGTGAAAGAAAACGACTGATTCCACAGGGAGGTTTGCCACTGAAGGGAGAGCTTTTATTCAAGAATTTCTTAGCAGCAAATGAAGAAAACCAAAGATATTTAAGGTTACCTCAGCCTAGGGGCCCGAATGTTAGGTAGGTCTCCTTGCCTTTTGTTTGTTGATGTTCTTTGAGTTAGCGTTCTGTTATAATAATAATAATAACAATGTGCCCCTCCAGTCCACATCCAGATTGGTGCTGGCCTTGCTTGGTGCCCTCAGGTAACAAAACCTAGGAAGGTCTAGCGTAATTTCCCAAGGGGAGGGTGGCCTCCAGCCTGGTGGGGAGTGGGAGCAGCTGATTCCTGATCCCCGAAAGGCGTCTGCCCTTGGACCGGCTCCTTGCTCCCCTGCAGGGTTCCCAGCGACCAGCCGCGCAGGACCTTTATGTGGTCCCTCTTAAGAGTCAAAGGGAGAAGGCCTCCTTTGATCCAGGTAGCACCTGGACCAGAGGCAACAGCGCTGTGCTAGAAGCACATACTCCAGAGTAGTCCCATCACTTTTGATAGGACTCGCATACAAAAATGACCTCTGGCTTGCCATGTTTTCAGGATGGGAGGCTTGACCCAGGCTGTGAGAGGCAATAACACTGAGGGAAAAGATGGCCACCGCTTCGGCGGATTTGGGAGCAAAACGTGCCAGCTTTCTCCCGCTGGGCGAGGGCTCTGCCTGTGGCCGACGGGCGGCCGTTGGCTCCTCCAGAGATGGAGGAAGAGGAAGCGCACGGGCCCATCGGAGGAGGCGCCACCTCCTCCGTGCTGCGTCAGCCTTTCAAAGAGGGGATCTGGCAAAGGGTCTTCCCGGCGTGCCTCCGTCCTGTTATTTCCACGAGGACGCCGGCCTCTGGGGTCGAGATCTGGCCTCCTCCCGGCTTGAGCCCTCGGTGCCCACCTGTGCTCCCAGGTCTCCTGTCCAGAGGGAGAGCCTCCCTGCAGACCCCAGCAGCCTTTGGGCCTCCGTCCGGCCCAGGACGCTCCGCTCGGACCGGCCGCCACTCTCCGGGGTGCTCAGCAGGCTGCTTTGTCCCCCAGCTCCCTGGAGGTGGGGGCTATTCCCTGGGGTCGCCTGTCCCAGCCTGTGGGGAGAGCTGTGGGGCCGGACCCCGCCAGCCTCCTGAACCCGTGCCAGGCTGTGCCTTGCTGGGGCAGAGCAAGCGGGGCTGGCGGTTGTGGACCGAAACCCGAAACCGGTGCTGGTGCCACAGCGAGAGCGGGCCGTGGGCATGGCCTTCTTGCGCGCCCGGAAGGGACCTCTTCACCTCGAGGACGGAGCTGGGCCTGCCTCCAGCCCCTTGTCAGACGCCCTGCTTTTTTGGGCAGGCTGATGGGCTTTCCTCTTCCACTCTGCCCAGCGCACATGCCTTGGGGGTGTGTGTGTGGAAATCAGGGAGGCCAGATGAGGGGTGTGTGTGTGTGTTTTGGGGGGGGAACAACACATCCTTGGCCTTAGGTTTGTTTGGTTTCACCTTTGAGGAACCTTCTACTGTGATGCCTGAGCAGCCCAGACTTTTAGGAGGGGGGTGGGAATGAAAGGCTGCCACCCCCAGCCCCAAAGTTAAAAGACCACACCTCCCATCCTCCTCTACCATCGGGGACCTTGGCTACTAGGGTGGATGGGAGAACTGGCAGGCCCGCCATCTCTGGGGTGTCTGCCAGCCCCTACTTAAGGGCAGCCCG